TGAAAATGCTGTTATCTTGAAATTCAATTTAGATCTAAAATTAAATTAAATTGTTGACAATTTTTAATCATGTGTATTTACGAAAGGTACATGGAGATTACGTTATGAGATTACAAAAATTCATGATACTCAAGTTATGACAAGTTAAATTTTTGATTGAATATAGACTTATATTTCAATTGATCTTGAATTAAATTAAATTTAAGTTGACAATAAAAACATAAAGTATATCTATAAAAGAATTAGAAACTTGTAAATATCAAGCCATGGAATTTAGCACTTGATTGAAAAAATTTCTATAAAGAGCTTAAGAGTGACAATTGAACGATGATGTAATACTACTACCACACTTCATTCTAGCAGTTAAGTAATTAACTCTAGCACATAATTCAGTGTGAAGAGTTGATTGAAGTCTCTATATTATGATGCAAATTTTTCTGGTCTTGAAAATCTAGAGTATGAGAGTTATTGATCTTATCTTTTTATGCAGCTATATTTTTGTTTCGATGTAGTACATACTTATAGAATATTTTATGATGTGTATCACTCATAATTTATAATTCCAGTAGTGTAAATAAAGAGTAACATGTTTGAAACAAAGTAAATCTCTGATTGAAGCATTTTAATTCTCATTATTGATATTTCAAATACCAGAGATGAGAACTTACAAATTGCAGAATTCCAATTAGAACAGGAATTATTGCTAATTAGAAAAAAAATGTTCTACTCTATTATGTTGAGGGATATATGTACCTATTGGCGAAGAACCAGGTCGCCAAAAACACATGGGTCTCGCAAAAGCTCAATAACATCGTCAATAATGGTATGATTGACCTCTAATCGGGTTCAATGCACTTTATTGGTGCCCTTATGATATTGGGACATCAAACTCGATTTTATTATTTGTCAAAGTATGACAGTACAGTAGTCTAGCCATGGAGGATCGCGGGAGTCTTGGGCGGGCGCCCAAGACGGATCTTTGGCTTCTCAACCCCGACCGCCTTCATTTTTGCCTTCTTTGATCGCGTTACAGGCACAGCTGGTAAATCACCGCTATCGCCACCCGCAATATCTGTTGTGGCGGCCACCTCGGTAGGGATAGCAGGATAGTACGAGAGAAACTCAGGCGGAATTGAGAAGTACTTTTGAAACAATGATACCAGTTTCTTCTCCGTCAGCGACTTTACCTCAAGTTGGGGCAGCTGGAGATAATCAATGGATTCGATATCATCAATGGATTTGACGTCGGGCCCGAATAGGTCAAACAAAATCGCATGACGAACATCATCAATATTTGTGGGCAAAATCATTGGAAAGTGCATCGACTCATCATCAGGCGTCATTGCGAGATGACACATTTCCACGACGCCCTTCTTGATTTCAAAATAGTAGTGGCTCGTGTAGTTCGTCGGCATCGGCTTCAAGTACTTGGTGAGTAAAGGGCTCCATTCGCCGAAGAAGGGTCAGGTCGTTGAACGATGATCGAGAAATTTGGTAGAGACAGATTTGATGTCATTCAACAAATATACAATCGCACCGGTGCTGTACAAATTGACGTCGCGCATCTTGTTTCGACACCAAGCAACGACACGATCAGCCGTGTTGAGCGAGTGGCCTGGAATGAGATAGTGAATGACGACCTTATCATAGAAAAGTAATGAAAGGAGGGCATAGAACATGAACGCGAGCTTAGATTTGTTTTGACCCACAAAGTTATTGAGAATCAATAACAAAATCTTCGGCGGAATGCTGCCACGTTGCCGATGAAAGCGACGAAGACCGATATGATACAGGAGACGAAGGCTACATAGCGCGTCTGTGCCTTTGCCTTGGCCGCGCTCATCATAAATCAGAACGTTGTTGGCGTCATTCGTGATGTCGGCAATGATGAAGTTCTGCATCATGAGATTGGAATTAAAATAATCAGCAGAGGGACGTTGGTGCCCATAGTGAGGGAGCGCAAAGCTGCCACCAAAATCTTCAATTTGAATCTGGATCACCGGCACGCCTTTATGTTCGATAGCCTTATTATCAGCTGGAGGTTGTAATAACCCACCAAAGGCTAAAACTGCAATATAGTGGTAGAAACAAACCCACAGGAACAGAGGCAACACACACAGTACAAAGTGTCACATTTAACATACTATTGAAGAGTTTGAATTCTTAGACGAATGTCACTCCCAGAAATACTGCAAGTGTCCACTCGGAGATCACTCGGAGGTCGCACAATGCAGCGTAGTTCATTCAACACACACACACACACACACACACACACACACACACTTGAAACTATCGAAACACAACTCAGAGATCGGTTATGACCTCTACTTAAGATTTCAGGGGAAAGTCTCTCGCGAGTACACTCAGCGAATCTGCGGGTAGTGACTCCCAACTTCGGCTTTTACAACCCTTTCACTAGTTTCTGCTAGCACAGGGAACCCGGAATGGACTTCCTACTTCGGATCGAAGTCACTCACACGCGGTGAACAACACACTCAACTCACAAAATGCGCAGAGAACACAGGTCCGAACTGAGAGGCTCAACTGAGAAACGATCTAGTAGCACACCATAATAGTCTATTGAAGAGTTTGAATTCTTAGGCACTTGTCATTCCCAGAAATACTACAGGGGTTGCCCTGAAGGCACCTGCTGCAGCGTAACCTGAATTACAACTAAGGCTTACTCGAAGTAACAAAACTTCACTTTGGCATTCAGGGGAAAAATCCCGAAGGGATTTTTCCCCTGAATGCCAAAGTGAAGTTTGCTCTTACTCTGGCTTTGCTTAAACTCTTTTTACTCTGGCTTTGCGTACCGATTGCTATTTACAGCTGCTACCGCGGTACTTACTATTCAAAAATGTTCTAGTTCCGACGAAAAACAAAAAGTGGTTTTTCAAAAATATCACTGATGATCGTCGTTGGGATGGCCTGCTTTGGCGCATGGGCGGAAATGTACTGTTTAACAAACGTAGACATTGTCCGTCGCTGATCAATCGCTGCCGATAGATGCATCGTCTTCTCCAAAGGCAACAACTCGTGTTCTTCACTCGGAAGATCATCTCTGTCAAGCTCAACATGAATGCAAACACACCCATTACAAACGTCTTTTGTCGTCCTTGTTAATCGAACACATGGATACTTCAGATTAACGTATTGAGTCCATTGGCTGTAGCTCATCACACGACGATTCATTTCCATCATCTTATCAAAATATTCCTTCCACAACCAAGTCCAAGTTAAGCACTCTTCAACAAAATACTGGCGCGGTCGTCGATGTGCACATGGAAATCCGTCCTCAAGGTTTCAGTTGTTGCACACGCCAACGAATGCAGCCACATGATCCGCAGTGAGAGCGTGCGCTGGGATCTGCGTCGGCCGACGAGTGTGCAGTGTGTCGATACCCTCCTCACGACCTTCCTCAAACGCGTTATTCGGCTGCCACCAACAAGATTAATTGCCCAAATGACCGTTATCATATAGACCTTGATGCATCAGACCCAATACAATTCCTTCTCCTTGCTGCCATTCCTCGCCTCCGTATTTGGTATTCATTGTGTCCCACTTTGTTCTCAGCTCGGCGATAGCCTCCTGTCCCAAAATCAAAATCGCCTTCTTCATTGCGTTGTCATGAGGATTGGAGTTTTTCTTGGTATTGCTTTGCGATACACATTGATAAGATCCATAGATTACTCCATGCTTTCGCTTCTTCATCAGTACTTCGCCTACAAAGCTCAGCTCCAAGACTCACGTAGAAGCTGCCGATGGCATTAATGCACCAGATCCTGACGATGAACCGGACACATTATGCGGGCTGATGCCACTGCTCATGAGTTGATCGCGCCATCGGGAGATAATTAGGCACTCATGCCACACATATAGATAAGTCAGTATGGCGTTCATCGTTGCATGGATGTTCTTCTTCGACCTCTCAATAAATGCAGTCAAATCATTATTGTCGAACCCCCATGCCTGAATTTGCTTCTTCAGCTCAATAAGACTATCATCCATATCCTTCTTACTCATTGGTGCTCCTCACTCTGCCTGCCTCCTCACTCGCTTGAATGACGAGGCAATACTCTCAAGTCAGTGGGCAGTTCAAAGAAGCTGCATGATGTGGAACTTTCCTAACACATTCTGAGCCCATTTCCCGCCTACTTGTGTGACTTTTTGGAACAACTAAAAAATAATAAAATAATTCGATTTCACTTCGATAGTTTCATATCCATAAAAAATTAATTTGCAATTGAGTTAAACATCTTAATCTATATGTTTAAGTGTCATGTCATTTTGTTATCCAGGTGAAATAAATTTATCTAAAGAATATAAAAAGCATGGATATGCTTACATAGAACTTAAAGCCTAATTATTTTTGTCATACTTATTATCGAAAATATTGTCTGTAAAGTTTTGATTTATTATGAAATATAGTATATTATAGATGTTTATCTATACTAAATTATAATATATCCATGGATATATTTTATCTTCGTTTGATATAATGATGTATATTTTTTTAAAAAAAATATGTTGTTTTAATTTATATTGTAATTTTAATTTATAATGGGTTATATAATTTCTATATATTTTTCATCTTTCATTATGTCATTTCATTTATTTTAGTAATAAATTATGTGTATATTTTACGAAAAATTCAGTGTTGAAAACGTATGTGTCGCATTGTAAGTTATGAGATAAAATAATGTGTTATGATCGAATATGTGTTGGTTCATTGAGAAATATATTTTGTTAAAAACTATTTACTCAATTGCCCTATTATATCACATAGGTACTAAGTTGTAATTTATTGCGGCATAACGACAATTATATGCTTATGTACGTCCTGTATTGGTATTTTCAAAGCTTTGGGAGCAAATGAGTGAGCCCGTACAGTAGCAATGGCTGGTATCGGGTCCACAAGACACACACGTCACTGGACAGGGGACATCATACCATTAGTTTCGACGCATTTGAAACGAAGTATGAATGTGAACGAGGATATGTCGACAGAGAATGGGAAAGTATTTCCTTCAAAATTTGATAAAATGCGGAAGACAATGAAGTCTATCTCTGAAAGTAAGCAGGTAGCTTTCGCTAACCGCACCAATTCCTGGTACTAAATATTCTCAAAAGCTCCGATGCAGGAGAATTCAGGTTCCCCCAATCTTGTGTGGCACACTGAACGAGTGTGCACGAATTCTACCGTTGCTATGCATACTCGGACCTCAATCATTCATCCTGCTCGTCAGAGAATCGAAGATGTTTGCCTTTCGGGGTAGGGCAGCCCTTGAGCTTCATCTTACTGGGAGAATCGACTTTCTTGTCCCTGACGATCTCTTCTTCTAGCTCGTCATCGCTGTTGTAGTTGAATCGCACGTGCTTGCCTTGAAATTCGGGAACGCCATTCAGTTCGACCTCGCCCATGGAAATATGGCTGATGCCTCTGCACAATTCTTCACAAGCCTGATCCAATATCTGAGGGGCGCTCTGGTCCAGAGATGCCTCCTGCTCGTCTTCCGAGTACGCTTCATAATCTTCGCAGTCATCAAATTCTTCATCGATCTCCTTCCTCGGAGATGGTCTGCGGGCCCAGATGGCAGGATTCTCAGCTTGCTGCTCTGGGTCGACGATCACATTATTTATGAAGTTCAAAGTTTCGTAATCCTCCTGCGCTCCAGCGTCAAGCTTCGTCTCGGGTGAATTGACGTTGACTATGACGGACCATCCACAGTCATCTTCCTCGTCCATCTGAGAACAGGGAGACGAAACCTCCCCCGACTCCAGGGGGAACCTCTGGGGAGAGTCGAAGAGCCTAGTGCGTGTACATTCGTCACTAGTCGAGAGGATTTCAGCTTTCCTCTCGGGTGAATCAAACTGTAGAGTGCGCGTCGTTGTTTGCACCTCTTCGGTGCTGTCTTGGTAGTCGTTTTCGTCTGCTGATGTCTGCTCTGATTCAATCTGAATACCAATTTGATTCTAAGTCAGCTAACATTAAAGAGTACTTCAAATTGACAGGTTCAGCGTAAATAAACTCTGCTGCAGAAATGGGGAGGAGATGCATACATCTTGAATCTTGAATGGAGAGACGACGTATGCTTCGTAGCTGTTGCATTTCTCGAGTGGAAGACACACTTCCAGGTGGCAGACCGGTGATGCAATAGCAATGGGGGAAGGCGTGGGCCTCAAACTCGAGCATGGCCTCTCCGGAAGAGTGACAGTGACGGCTTCTTGTGCTGAAGGCCATGAACCAGTGGCTGGAGTATTGGCCGGAGTAGGCGCAGCGAGTCTCATCGGGGATTCGAAGGCCTCCGGATCATGCTGCAGGTCAGAGAGAAGAGGAGATTTAGCAGCCGCTGTGCTCTCCACCTTCTTCAGAAGATTCGTCACTTGATTACGCAGGACGTCTTCGCCTCGACTACAATCCGCGGGTCTCAGCTTCGATCTTGGTGTGGACTCGTATAGGTTGCTTCCCATCGACGAGGGCATGAGCCCGGAGATCGGGGAATCATTAGTCAGATCAGAGAGTGCACGTCGGGGCACAGCTTTCTTCTTCGTACTGCTGGCTGTGCGTGATGATGGCGGTTTCACTGCACGACGGATTCGGAACTAAAAACTCAGACACGTAGAATTCGCTCATCAAACTGTGAGAAGTATTGCACAGGGAAGACTTGGCGGCTAGCTACACTGAACACTTATTTCAAAATTTCCCGAGGAAATGTCAAAGACTGCACGATACCATCACACACACTACAAAACTACGCAGACTTATAACTCAATTCTTACCAGCAGACGAAGGACCGGAACCTGTTTGGCTCCGTGTCATCCTGCGCACAGGAGTTTCCATTATTCAAACCTGCGTCGACACACAGAAGAAAATGTCAGCATCACCATTCCTCAACGCGTGGTCAAAAGTTCGCATACGCTTACATTCGAACGACGATACGTTCAGGCTTGGAATTTCAGCCTTCAGTTCAAAATACAAGCAGCAGAAGCAATATCCTCCTTCCTCTCCAGCGTGAGTTGCAACAATATAATTCGAAACGATTACGAGACAGAACAAACGAAACACTCACAATGTCGTTAACGTGGAAGTATCGTCGGCCCTCTGGAGTGAAAATGTGAGTCAAGAGTACAGTGAGTCGAATGAATGACGGAGGGACGAAGAGGTGCAGGAGGTGAGGGAGGTGAAGTACGAGCTACTCGAATGACGATTTATCGACCTATGCAGAGGATCAACACACGAAGGAAGGAACGGGGTTCGAGTGAAGTCGCAGCACAGACGAATGGCTGAAGCGGGAAAGAGACGCCTTTTTGAAGACGGGAAGTACTCTGGAGGGAGACGATGTGCCACCGGCAACAGGCAGTGGTTGGGGCCGACGACTAGGATCTTCCGCTGAGTGATCCGCGACGGGCGCTGGCCGGTCGTACACTTCAAATTTTGATTTCTTCCCGTTGCTCCTGCGGCATATAGCCGTTCGGGGGCATGACCGTGATCTGTGTCATTGACCATTATGACTGACCGTAGTCTGGACTCTGGTTTGATCGAGCGTCGTCGGCGGAGAGAGGTACAGTCAGACGGATCTCTTGTAGGACTCGAGGCTCCTATTCCAAACCGGTACTAATTATTTTAACCTAGATACAGGGACGGAACCCATGTGTGTAACCCATGATCTGTAATTTGCTTTGATGGTCGTTGATGTGGAGAATCAAGATATTTAAGGTATCGCATTACATTGTGAAAGCTTGTTGCAAGAGTAAGAGATTAGTCAAAGGGGTACGCAGTATAAGGGTTGGATCTTTGTTTCAATAGCGGTACAAGTGGTGAAAATCAAAACATCGAGAATTACTAGAGAACAAGTGTAATCTGCTTTCTTTAGATAAGATGCACGTAATCAAAGGAAAAAGTCTCTGTAATTTCCAATTTACTGCTTTCTTCTATGTTTTGATCAAATATTTTAAGCATTGAAAGGAAAAACTCTATATAATATTCAAATTACTCCTTTCTTCTCCTACCCTTCTATTGTGATCAAATCTTTTGTATAATAAGATTCTAAAACGTCATGAAACATATTATTACGACTTCACAATGTACTGACATGTAGAGTTTGTGATCTAAGGAAGTATCATGGATATAAAAGATATCTTTTGCATCATGGATATAAAAGATATCACTCGTTGCAAAAAAAGTTATGGTTGGCGGGCTCTATGAAGATAAGAAAGAGAACCAAAGAACCAACAGAAATGTTATTTATGTCAAGTCAAATATTGAATAGAAGTTCTACTTTAAGAATTTAGTATTGAATTCTCGATAAGAGAAAAATCTGCAAAAAAAAGTTAGTTTGTGTTAAGTTGAATAAAATTATCAAGGTTTTAATAGTCAATAATGATTTGATAATTAGGATATACCATGTGGCATTGTTATATGAAACAAAAAAAATGATTGTATGGCATATAATTTTATTACTCAAAATAATCTTATGCTATCAAATTATTCACAAGCATATTTTGCATAATCATGAAAGATTGCATTTAACTTTGAAACCTATTTAAAGTCTACAAGATAAAAGACTACATTATTAACAACTAAATCTTACTCATTTAGAATTTGATTTTAAATTGTTGTAGTCTTATCTTTATTATGTCAAGCATTATGTTTACTGCTAATAATATTTGATTGCAATGGCAAATCTAATCATGATAGAGATAACAATTAGATATTACAAGACATGCAGGAAAATTCATAAAATCCATGAACATAAAATTTCGCAAGCACTACATTGACAGGAATATATATAGTTCGCAACTCTAAGTATACTTTCAGTAAAACAACGGCATCTTTACTGAAAACCTACAAAATATTTTATAGGAGCTGAATCTCAACATCCTATATATACATGATAACAAAAAACCTAACTAGTCTTAAACCTAATTTGAGCTAGGTTAACTAGACATTAACCCTAGACTTGAGTTAATACTAACAGCAGAGATCATATGTCCAATATTAACTAGGATTAAGCCTAAATCTAACTCTGACTCAAGTTAGATTAACTACAAATTGATCCAAGACTTGAGTTAATATTAATAGCATAAATCTTATGTCATTAACTCTTAACTTGAGTTAAGCTTAAATTTACATATAATTCAAATTAGATGAAGTAGAATTTGATCCAAGACTAGAGTAATTATCAAGAGCATATATGCCTAGGTTCAATACTAACTAGAATTAAACATAAACTTAACTATGAATACAATTAGGTTAACTATAGCTCAATCCAAAATTTTAGTTGATACTAACAGCAGAAATCCTAAATCCAAGCCTAACTAGAATTAAGTCAAACTTTAAGTTCGATTCAAATTAGATAATTAGAGTTTAATCCAATACTTAAATTAATACTCATGGTAGAAATCTTAAATCCAACCCTAATTAGAATTAAGTCTAACTTTAAATCTGATTCAAATTAGATTAACTTAAGTTTATCCAAGACTTGAGTTAATACTAACATTAAGATCCCTCATAATATTTAGTTTTTACATCATATATGCTATTATATAAGATAAATTTCCTGCATAAATTGTGATAATTATCATGCACATGCAATTTACATCACAACATGAATAGTCATGCATCAACACAAATTAATGAAGATAAATCTCAATGTTTTAACACATTGTTAAAAAAGACTCAAAACATCGTCTTGAACAAACATTCAAATTATATGAATCCAATCAATGTTCACAAAATAAATACAAGTAGAGTGAATATTTAGAAAATTTTCCTCTAAATTTTTTTTTTTCAAATTGAGCTGTTGTAATTTATTTTTTTTCAGTGTAAAAATTTGATCAAATGTTTAGCTTAATGCTGATTTTTTAAAAATTTACAATTGACAAAAATATATGTTGCAAAAATATTAGATGAAATGTTAAAATGAATTTTTTGGTTAATAGTTCTACAATTGTAATTTTGATAATTTATTATTAATTAAAAAAATAAAATGTACACATTCATTTTCATCTATCTTCAAAATTATGTGTTAAAATAAAAATGTATAATTTTTTACTTTCTAACCAATTTATTCGTGTAATAATAATCAACAATTTTCTGATATGTGTTTTATATACTTTTCAATTCACAAGTTTTATCTACTCTTAAAAAAATTTGCAACAGAATTTTTTCTTAATAGTTTATATATACTACATTTTTTTCGCAAAATATTTCATCGATGCTTTTGTTTCTTGCATAGTATCATGTTATTCTAAATCTCTCAAACTAGCAAACCAACAATATAATGAACACAGAGACACAAGTATAACGTGGTTCACACTCAGGGGCTACGTCCATAGAGGAATACGCTCGAGAAAGTTTACTGCTTCAAGTGAGTTACTCGTATCACTCTCAAGGTATATATACCCAAGATAGTCAAACACTCTAAACTATAAATAGCTACATGTGCGATTAACCTTGGTTAACTAACCTCGGTTAACTTTTAACTGAGATTAACTTATTAACCAGAGTTAACCTCAACAATCTCCCCCTTAACTCGCGTTAAGGAGTCTCAGTAACCTCTCTAACCTATATTATTACTCAGCGGAAAGTTCTAGACAGAAACCTATCACAAGATCACTCTTTAAACAAGAGTTAACTAAAACTAAGCCGTAACCATAAGAGTATAGAGTAACAATATACAGAGGTAATCTCAACAATCTCACCTTAAGTCATGTTAAGGAATTTCAGTCATCTCTCTAACCTATATTATTACTCTCATACCAAGATAGAGTAATAATATACAGAGATAACTCCACAATCTCACCTTAACTCATGTCAAGGAATTTCAATCACCTCTCTAACCTATATTATTACTCTCATACCAAGATAGAGTAATAATATACAGAGATAAGTTCACAATCTCACCTTAACTCATGTCAAGGAATTTCAGTCACACCTCTAACCTATATTATCACTCTCATACCAAGATAAAGTAATAATATACAGAGGTAACTCAACACTCTCACCTTAACTCATGTTAAAGAATTATAGTCACATTTTTAACCTATATTATTACTCCGCGGGAAGTTCTAGATGGAAACTTATCACAATGTACCTCTTTACACTAGAGTTAACTAAAACTAAGTCGTAGCCATAAGAGTATAGAATAACAATATACAGAGGTAACTAAGAACCATATCTCTCGTGCTCCCTATGCACAACTTGCATAGTAGCACAGTGTTGCCTGAAACTCTTCAAAGGAATAACTTTGGTCAACGCATCAGCTGGATTGAATTTACCATCAATCTTGACTAGCTCAATTGTTTTATCAGACACTGCTTGTCTAATAAAGTGATATCGGATGTCGATGTGCTTTACTCTGCTATCCATGACTTGGTTCGCAGCCAAATGTAAAGCACTCTGGCTACACAATGAAGATTGACCACTCCTTGTGTTAATCCACTCCATGATAAGCTTACCCAACCAAATAGCTTCCTTTGCCCCTTCTGCTGCTGCCACATACTCAGCTTCTGTTGTAGATTGAGCTACACACTTCTGCAAGGTAGATCTCCAACTAATGCTTCCGCCGCCAAGTGTAAACACATATTCAGTTGTAGATCTGCTCTTGTCTAAATCTTGTCCGTAGTCAGCATCAACGTAGCCAAACAAGGACTTGGCATTGTCTAATAAGCCATCAAACAATAAGCCATAATCCATGATATTCTTCAGATATCTCATAATCCATTTCACTGCTTCCCAGTGAACTTTTCCTGGATTCGACATGTATCTGCTCACCTTCCCCATTGCTAGAGCAATATCAGGCCTAGTGCACACCATTAAATACATGAGGCTGCATACAGCTTGTTCATAGGGAACACATGACATTCTTCTCTTTTCCACAGCATCTGTAGGACATTGAGCTGCTGAGAGTTTAAAATGTGCCGGAAGAGTAGTCCATACTCCATTCAAATTTGCCATGTTGAACCTGTCAAGTATACAGCGAACATACTTGCCCTGACTCAGCCATATCTTCTTCTGTTCAAAATCTCTATAAATATCCATGCATAGTATCCTTCATCTTAAATGCAGACTTCAGCTGGCTCTTGCATTCATCGACATCGGATTGGTTTTTTGCCAAGATAAGCATGTCGTCAACGTAGAGTACTAGAATGATGAGATTGAAAGTCTCATCATCCACCTTCTTCATATAGACACAAGGATCATACATGCTTTGTAGAAAACCTTGTGCCATCATAAACTCATCAAAACGTGTATTCCACTGCCTAGGAGCTTGCTTCAG